TTCAAATTTGGTCCTTCAAGGCATGGTTTTAAAAACCGGACCGGACCGGCCGGTTCAACCGGTTGAACTGCCGACCGGTCGAGGTTCCGGTCCGGGTACACCCATAGAACCGGTCACAGTGAAAAACCGGCCTATTTTGGGAGAACCGTGAAAATCGGCGGTCGGACTGGCGAACCAGTCGACCCGGTTCCGGTTCACCGGGTTGATAAAAACGAACTTTTTGTATTTTTTTTTTCTTTTTTTTTATTCTTTCTTTCTTTTCTTTCTTTCTTATTTTATATATATATATATAATAAAAATTTAATTGGAAACTCTCTTTTAAGGGTCTCCTCTTGTGAGGAATCCCATTGAGAGCTTGAAATTATTGTGAAAGCCTCTATCTATTTATAAGAAAAAAATTGTTCCAAAAAAACTCAAGAAATCTATGTGGGATTCAATCAAATCTATTGGAGGGAAACTTAAAGTTTTGATATCCCTCCAAAATTTTTGCTCTTCTTTCAATCAAATTATTTGAATTAAAATCATATGGAGGGAATATTGAATATTGAATATTTGATTTCTTCTTCCAAAATTAAAATTAATAATATTTTTAAATATATTTTTATATTTTTTAATAAAAACAATATTAAGAGAAATATTTAAGATTATTAAAATTTTTAATTTATAATTTTATTACTTATATTTTTATTTAAATATAATTTTAATATATTTATGACGTCACGGTTCGATTCCGATTCAACCCGACGGTTGAACCGGTGACCCGTCCACCCGATCATTTTTCTGGTTCACTCACTGGTCCGGTTTTTAAAACATTGCTTCAAGGATTAATTTTGAGATGAACCATTAAATTGAATAACAAATTTTAATACTTCTAGGACATTTTGGATATTTTATCTTAAAATAGGAATATTTACCAATAAATCCTACTTTACAAACTGTTATACCAAATAGTCCCACTTTTATTCTATTATACCAAATAGTCCTACTGGTGTGTTGATTTGGTCCTTTTTATTTTTTTTTTTTCATTTTTGTTTCACTCTGTGGACGAGAGTGCCCTTTCATTGATTTACAAACTGTCATTTTTGGTTCACTGATTTGGTCCCACTTTCATTCCGGTGTGGCACACCCTCAGAGATTCGCGCGTGTGTGTGTGTATCAATGTGTGTGTGTGTGTGAGTGTGTGTTGAAGCCATCTGTGTGTCTGCGTGCATCAGTGTGTTTGAGAGGGCTTGACCATGTATTTGTCTCAATGAATTCGAAGACGTTGAGAATCTCAGATTGATCCCCAAATGCGACCATGTGTTTCACCCCGAATGCATCGATGCTTGGCTCAATTCTCATGTGACTTTTCCGGTTTTCCGAGCCGATCTCGTTCCTCAACCCGGTGAGACTCTGCAAATTCCAGATTTCAATCTCCAGATCGATGTTCCGGAGGAAACCCAGAACCCCCAAAACCCAACCGATGAAGTTTTGATCCGGGTCGTTGAAGATCCGGAAGAAGACTATCTTCCTCCTCCTCCTAAGGCGCTGGACCGGACCTAGAACCAGAGCTTTAACCAGAACCGTCCTCCGAGATCTGGGTCAGTCCGGTCCAGACTATTCGAGAGGTTCCCCAGGTCGCATTCGATGGTGTTCCATCTGTGTGTCTACGTGTATCAGTGTCTTCCATCTGTGTGTGTGCGTGTATCAGTGTGTTCGATTTGTCCGATCTGGAATCACATGTGTGTTTGATGGTGTTCGATGTGTTTTATCTGTGTGTCTGTGTGTATCAGTGTGTTCGATGTGTTCGATGTATCAGTGTGTTCAATGTGTTGAAGCCATCGCCAGCGCCATCGCCAGCGCCATCGCCCTCGGATGATGATGTGTTCGATGATGTTCAATGTGTTCGATATGGAATCACATGTGTTCGATCTGCTGTTGTGTGTGTTAATGGCGTCTTGTGTCTGCTAGAGAGAGGAGCTATGTGTGTGGCTGGGTCTCTATGTGAGAGAGAGAGAGAATGCTAAGAGTGAGAGAATGCCCAGCCCAAATATAAATCCCTTACAGCGGTTTGCCATTGTGTGACGCCATGGCAGTGTATCACATGCAACATACCACACATCCATTTTACTAATCGCGCACGTGAGCCACACACGCGCATCACCCAATCTTGAAGCCCCCAGCCGCATCAAATATAGGATACATAAGGGTAATTACGTCCCTCACAATTAAATGGGACTAAACAGTTTAATAGAATAAAAATAGGACCAATTGATTCATAAGTTCAAATTTTGAGATTTATTGGTAAATCCCCCCTTAAAATAAAGGGGCATTTAGAACATATCAAACCATTTTAACTCTAATGCTATCATTTGTCAATTTCCTTTATCTTTAAATTTCTACATTTTATTTTTATGCACTATACTTACATTTCATAAAAATAGATTAGACTTGTAATTCCAAAATCTGGCCGATTTAAAAGTTTTGAAGTTGCTCCTACTAAATATAACATTTTGTAATTATTTATTTAATTAATTAATTTCAATTTCTGCCTAGTCTCTCATTCCCAATTTTGTTACGAATTTGAATTAAAATTTTGGTTTATCTTTTTAATACAACACAATAAAGTCCTTTTTATTGAGATTGAAAGAATCTTACACAATTACTTGATAAAAATTGATATTTATTATCTGTAAAAATTTTGCAAATTCTTACTGACACATTTAAATTATATTTTTAACATTTGAAATGTCAAAAATAGCCAATACAAATTGATTGATTTGTACTGATGTTTGTTTGTTAAATTTTGATTTTGTTTACCGACATAAAACTTTACATTATTTTATAATGTTCGATAATATAGACCCGAATATAAGTAGTTTATTCGGTAACACTAGTCTGAATATGATGACAAAGAAAGGTCGATGATAAGAGATCAGATGTAACAGAGATTGATGGTAGGGCACTTGCAGCAATGGATGAAAAAAGATCTAGGAATGAGGAAGTGAGGGGTTATAACAAGCACTCGTTTGCAATAGTAAATTTTGAAATTAAAAAAGTTATTTTAGTAATAAAAAGATAAAATAAATTAAAAAATTAATAAGATAACATGTCATATATAAATTATAATTATTTTTTTAATAAAAATCAAAAAAATAAAAAACTTATCCTAAATAAAAAATTTTAATTCTAAATTAAAATAATTAAAAATACAAAAAAAAAAAAATAAACCCACTCATCATGAGTAGGACAGAAATGCTATAAACAAAAAAGGACAGAAAGTAGGGAGAGGGAGACAACTCACCGGGCTCTCCTAGCTCGCCGGTCACGGCCCTGCTGTCACTCTCCTCTCGTTGCTTTTTTGGTCACTCTCCAGCACGGGCGACGCTACGTTGTAATGAGGGGTTCAAGTAAACCCCACGAGTATGTTTAAAAAATAAAAAGGTAAACCCTCCGAGCATTGAAAATATTAGATATATAGGATTTTATTTGGGATTAAAAAATAAAAATAAAATAAAATATAAATTATTCATGTAATTTAAAAAATTATAAATATTTTAGGATAAATTATAAATATATCCCTTGAGATTTTATTAAAATACAAATCGCCCATCTAATTTTGAAAATTATATTTCACCCTTGAGGTTTCTAATTTCATAACAAATTACCTATTTTGTTAATAAATTATTAAGTTAATTAACAGTTTTTAATGATGTTAAAAGTATATTTTAATTAATAATTTAAGTAATTTTATTATTATATAGGAGAGTAATTATAAAAAAAAAAATTTAAATAATTCTGTTAAATAATTTTTTTTTAACAAGAAAGTATTTATAATTTTCAAAACTACATAAGATAATTTATATTTTAAACAAATCTCAAAAGAGTATTTATAATTTACCCATAAATAAAATAAGGGGCGTTGAAATGTACATGATGGTCTTTGCCTCCGTTTGGCATCCCAATTTTAGGTTAAAATAATTATAAAACGACAAAATAAATTAAAAATTAATATAATAAAATGTTACATTTAAATCATAATCTTTTTATTTTTTCTTGCACAAAATTTAAAAAAATCAAAAAAATTCATCTCAAACGAGACTATTTAACTCATACTAAAATATTTAAAAAAAACCAATTCACATCTCAAACCAACCTTTTATTTGATAAGGAAATTAATACCTATTAATAATTAGACAATTTGGACACAAATTAAAATTTTAGGGATAAAAAGAAAAAAAAAAATTGAAAAATAGGGACCAAAACGATGTTAATCACATATTTTAGGAATGCATAATGATATTTTAGGAATGCAAAATCATTTAATTCATCTTTTTATTTTTATTTTCTTTTTGGGAGATAAAAAGTAAGAAAAATTATATATAAAAAAAAATCTTAACATATGACTCCATTTGCCAGGAAGATTTAGGGCTATTTTAATCACAAAAGATAAAATAAATTATTTTAATCACAATAAATAAAACATCACATCCAACCTTTAATCATTACTCTTTTCTCATAAAAAAAATAAAAAAAACTAAAAAGTCAAAAAATTCTTCCCAAATCAAAATTTTTTTAACACAGACTAAAATAACTAAAAGTCAAAAAATTAAAAAAACAACAAACTTTCCAAACAGAGGCGCTGCAATCAATCTCAAACTCAAACTCAAACCTATCTTCCCAATTATCTCTAAAAACAAAAATGAAGGGAATCAAGTAAAAATATTTCAAGCTGATCAAAGACATGAGCTGTAGTAGTATACGGAACGTACTTGGAACCCCTGAATATACGTATCCCTTACGTTTCATCAACTGAAACAGAAACTTCGACACGTGGCGGCTTTTGCAGCCTCGTCGGAGTTTGAACCCAAACCCCCCTTCAACTCAGAGAAAACCGTACCACACGTGCATAACCGTACCCAAAGTATCTCACGCTCCAACCGGACCCTCCGGTTAACCGCCGATCAAGTCCCAATTATTCAGATCCAAGTAAAAGATAAAAGTAATTTAACAAGATCGAGTGTCGGGAAAATAATCAGCTGTTTCATTGCATAAAATTTTGATTTAAGTAGAGATTACATCAGACGCACATCAGTGCTTGGCTACCAACAACAGCGAGAGACTTTCTCTGTTGCAAAAAAGATCAGATCCTACGGTGATCGTTGACCGGAAGATCAGAGATCACCGAAAACTAATTATAGAAGATTAAAATTGAAAATAAACAAGTGCCGAAAAAATGAGATCACGCCGTCGCCGGCGGGGGTTGTCAGGCGGTTTCAGGCGGCGGAGGATGGTTGAGATCGATGCATAGGGCTCTGTGTGGCTTCACGTCGTTGAGGTTTAAGTCAATCACAGATGATGAGTCGGAGTCGCTTTGTGCCCCACCGCCGTGAGCGGCGACGCGGAACTCCGCCGCCGCCTTCATCCGCTGGTTTTGGAGATCTCGAAGAAAGTCCTGATTCATCCTCCCTGACCGCAAAATCGCGTCAAAATAGAAGAGTTGATTCGCGGCCGTAGGTAAAACTCCGATCGGCGGAGAAGCATGAAACTGAGGTTGCTGAAACGGAAACCTAGAGGCGGCGGTGCCGAATCCGGTAAATCCGCCGCCGTGAGAGAGACTGAGATCGAGCGGAGGCGACGAATCGACCATCCGCGCCGGAGAGAAGCCTTCGCGACTCGAAGACTCGACGGTACTGCTCTCACTCGGACTCCGATTACAATTCACTTTCTTGATTTCATTGATCTTCACATTATTATTCTCTTCCGGTTGAGGAAAATTAGTCTTGGCCTTAGCACCGCGAAACTCTCTGGCGGCGGTGTCGTAGGCTTTGGCCGCCTCCTCCGCCGTATCGAAGGTCCCCAACCAGACGCGGCTCTTGCGCGCGGGATCTCTGATCTCGGCAGCGTAGCGGCCCCACGGCCTCTTCCGTACGCCTCTAAAATGCGCCTCTTTGCCGATCGCGGCGGCGGTGGCGGTGGCCTTCACAGCTCCGCCGGCCAATTTTTCCTTGGGCGCCATACACAGTTGGTCACCTATACATACACAGTTGGAAATATGTGTGATTGATTGTGTGTGTGTGAAAGAGAGAGGGAGACAGGGGAGGTGTGGTGTGGGGTTGGAAAGAGAATAATAGGGCTTTTGTGGTGTGTTTGAAAATGGGAAAGAGAGAGGGTGATCATCTACATTATATAGAAGAGAGAGAGAGAAAGAGAGAGAGAGAAGGGTGGGGGGGAGTCAACCAGGGGTTTTGACTGATAAGGTAGTAGCCGCCCTATGAGGACAATTGTTTAACATCGTGGTGCTTTCGTATTTACCAAGCATGTGAGTCGTGGAGCATCATCATTAGTCCTACGTATATGTACTACTTAAATGGGTCATGCTATTATACACACATTTTTTTGGGTTGTATACCATAAATGTAACATTGGCATTATTTGGCATTTTGGCAAAACTAAAAAAAAATATTTAAAATTTAAAAAATATTTTTTAAAAATAAAAAAAAATTAATTTTTAAAAAATTTAATTAAAAAAATAAAAACTAAACACACTGATTAATTTTTTATTTTTATATAAAAATAAAAAATTACACTTATTTAGATCATTTTAAATATTCACTTATGAAATTTGGGATGTTAATTAGTATCATAGGGTTATTTTAGAAAGTAAATTAAAAGTTAGTTTTTTTATTTTTTTTAATTTTTTTTTTAAAAAAATATGTAAAAAAATAAAGAGATAATGTGACCAAAAAAAATTAAACACCAAAAAATTATTTTAAACCTCTTTGTCAAAAGATGCCATAATTAAATACTTTTTAGTCATAATTAAAAAAAAATAATGAATCATAAGCATAGTTAAAGATATTTTTCATCATAATCAAAGTAATAATTATTAAGTCTTAATTAATATCACAATAGTCACAACTAAAGATAATAAATTTCATAGTGAATAATGCTATATGCACCAATTTATGTATTAACTAGTGTACTTATTGATTATGTGACATAATTTAAGAGGTTTTTGATATTTTTAAATATAAAATCTTTGATTGAGTGAAATACACTCCCATGTTGTCCTTAATGGACTTTTCGTTTGAGAATATTATTGGAATTTAAATTTAATATATTAATAATGTGTACTAAGAGGATTAGTGGTGTATAAACAGAATCTCCCAATAAGTTATTTATAGGGAAAATTATCATAAAGTTCTATATGGGAATTAATTCCTCCAATCAATCCCATGAGTTTTCTAATGCACTGATAGGTTCTATTTATTTTGATAGTCTTACTGTGAGATCCTATTTTGAATTTTGGTATGATTTGACGGACGTTTCTACTCTTCCTCATTGGAGGATGTTATCTTAGAGAAGTGGGATCGAATTTTTGGATCATGTTTCCGTCACTCCAAATATAACACTCTAATACAACACCCTAGAAAAACTTCTTAATGTTTTTTTTCCCAAACGTAATACTCCCAAAAAAATTGAAAAAAACTTTTTAGTGTATTTTTTTTAAATGTAACATTAAAAAAAATTTCTTATAGTGTATTTTTTTAAACGTAAAATTTTATTGTAACATACTAAAAAAATTTTTATTATACTTTTTTCGAATGTAACATTCTAACAACAGTAACAATTAAAGAGATTATAATGGCAAATGAGTCATTATACATTAAAAATGACTAAATAAATCATAAAAAAAATTATGAAATTAATTGAGATATAATTTCAACATATAAGATTTATTAATAGCTCTCTCTTACTTATATGAACAAGATAAATTTTAAAATTTCACTTTCAATTTTTACATTGCGGTAGTGTAGGTGGCAATGATGATGATGGTAATTAAGGAATAGCCGTTATAGTAATGTTAGAGGAGTAATGGTGGTGAAATGATGATTGTGGCTGTACGGGGATCAAATATTTCGGCAAGCCCGTACTCCTTTCTTCCGAGCTCCGTCACTGTCCGATTACCTGCATACACAACGACAGTGAGATACCCGACGGTGTGTGGCCGGAAAACCCCTTCGACGATCAAGTTAGAACACACACGGGATAGATAGAGAGAAGGGAGAGTGTTTAGTGTTTAGTGTTTAGTGTATGTCTCACCAAATGTTCATCTGTCCACGTATGAGGGGCGCAGACATGCTTATATACCTTCTGCGCCCCAAATCTACTCTCAGTGGCCTCTCAACACGTGGCACTGCTATCTCATCTGTCAGCATAAACCTTGTTGAGCACCACCTAACCCAACTGCCTGCCCATTCTCCTGGGAGCTCGGCAGCCGGGCAGTATCATCTCGACCATCATCTGCCATGCTGCGCTTCATGCCCAAGTACTCCAACAGCTAAGCTCAGATGAGGACCGGACTCGGCGGCATCTCAACAAAGCCGAGCTCGGGACAACTCACGCTAGTCTTGCGGTCGACCTACCTGCCGAGCAAAAAGGTATCTCAGTCCAACCTTGCCTTTCCTGGCGCTGGACTTTTCACCTGACCGGCTTCGTGACCACGGATCCTTGCAGCTCGGTCAATTCACGCGCTGCCTTAACCGAGCAGCTTCCTTCAAGGCCGGGCCACACAATTTGGCCCAACACCTGTTCGGCCCAAATCTGTCTGGCACAACTCTGTCCGGCCCAAATCTGTCTCAAAAGATGCCATAATTAAATACTTTTTAGTCATAATTAAAAAATAATAATGAATCATAAGCATAGTTAAAGATATTTTTCATCATAATCAAAGTAATAAGTCTTAATTAATATCACAATAGTCACAACTAAAGATAATAAATTTCATAATAAATAATGCTATATGCACTAATTTATATATTAACTAATGTACTTATTGATTATGTGACATAATTTAAGAGGTTTTTGATATTTTTAAATATAAAATCTTCGATTGGGTGAAATACACTCCCATGTTGTCCTTAATGGACTTTTCATTTGAGAATATTATTGAAATATAAATTTAATATGTTAATGATGTGTACTAAGAGGATTAATGGTGTGTAAACAGAATCTCCCAATAAGTTATTTATAGGGAAAATTATCATAAAGTTCTATATGGAATTAATTCCTCCAATCAATCCCATGAGTTTTCTAATGCACTGATAGGTTCTATTTATTTTGATAGTCTTACTGTGAGATCTTATTTTGAATTTTGGTATGATTTGACGGACGTTTCTACTCTTCCTCATTGGAGGATGTTATCTTAGAGAAGTTGGATCGAATTTTTGGATCATGTTTTCGTCACTCCAAATATAACACTCTAATATAACACCTTAGAAAAACTTCTTAATGTTTTTTTCCCAAACGTAATACTCCCAAAAAAATTAAAAAAATTTTTAGTGTATTTTTTCTAAATGTAACACTAAAAAAAAAACTCCTTATAGTGTATTTTTTTCAAACGTAACATTCTATTGTAACATACTAAAATATGTAACACACTAAAAAATTTTTTATTATACTTTTTTTGAATGTAACATTCCAACAGCAGTAACAATTAAAGAGATTATAATGGCAAATGAGTCATTATACATTAAAAATGACTAAATAAATCACAAAAAAATTTATGAAATTAACTGAGATATAATTCCAACATATAAGATTTATTAATAACTTTCTCTTACTTATACGAACAAGATAAATTTTAAAATTTCACTTTCAATTTTTACATTATGGGTAGTGTAGGTGACAATGATGATGATGGTAGTTAAGGAATAGCTGTTATAGTAATGTTAGAGGAGTAATGGTGGTGAAATGATGATTGTGGCTGTACGGGGATCAAATATTTCGGCAAGCCCGTACTCCTTTCTTCCGAGCTCCGTCACTGTCCGATTACCTGCATACACAACGACAGTGAGATACCCGACGGTGTGTGGCCGGAAAACCCCTTCGACGATCAAGTTAGAACACACACGGGATAGATAGAGAGAAGGGAGAGTGTTTAGTGTTTAGTGTTTAGTGTATGTCTCACCAAATGTTCATCTGTCCACGTATGAGGGGCGCAGACATGCTTATATACCTTCTGCGCCCCAAATCTACTCTCAGTGGCCTCTCAACACGTGGCACTGCTATCTCATCTGTCAGCATAAACCTTGTTGAGCACCACCTAACCCAACTGCCTGCCCATTCTCCTGGGAGCTCGGCAGCCGGGCAGTATCATCTCGACCATCATCTGCCATGCTGCGCTTCATGCCCAAGTACTCCAACAGCTAAGCTCAGATGAGGACCGGACTCGGCGGCATCTCAACAAAGCCGAGCTCGGGACAACTCACGCTAGTCTTGCGGTCGACCTACCTGCCGAGCAAAAAGGTATCTCAGTCCAACCTTGCCTTTCCTGGCGCTGGACTTTTCACCTGACCGGCTTCGTGACCACGGATCCTTGCAGCTCGGTCAATTCACGCGCTGCCTTAACCGAGCAGCTTCCTTCAAGGCCGGGCCACACAATTTGGCCCAACACCTGTTCGGCCCAAATCTGTCTGGCACAACTCTGTCCGGCCCAAATCTGTCCGGCCCAATTCCATATCATTAATCTCCCTCTCAATTGCCCCTTAATTCCGTCCGCAAAAGCGTGACTGGGATTACATATTCCGACCGGGATAACACTTCCTCGGTCCTCAAAATGCGAATCGGCGATCGGTCTAGTTGACTCCTGTCTGTAAAATTTGTTCGGTTCAACTCCTCGGTTGACGTTCTCTTCTTCAAAAATTGCCCGGTTGTCTCCTCAACTCTTCAACCTGTCCCTTCAGTTCTGACGTCGTCATAAATGAGGACACGTGGCAGGTTTCCATTGGACCTCGAGCAGCCAACCCAGCCGTCTGCCAGAATTTTGAATTTTTGGCGGTTTCTCCATCTATACATACAAGCCCCTTCTCCCTCATTTCACTCCTACTGCCTCTCTGCAATCCGACGCTTCAAAGTTCAAGCATCTTCTTTCAAACCTCGTCTGCCATTCTTTGCGCTTGTGCTCGAAGAAGCATGCCTTCCATTGGTAAGTCCTTCAACCCATGTCATTTTCATTTGATATTTCTTCCTCTCTGGTACCAAATCCGTAGGTTTTAGGGCCTTCCCCACCCACAACCTTCAATGCCCCTTAGTTTCTTTGTTTTGCTTCAAACTGTTCTTCATTTTTCCTGAAGAACACTAAGGATCTGGGGCTGACCGGGCT